TTATCCTCTGAAACACCAGCATCGCTCTGCTTCGCGTCGATGCGCGAATTCTCTCTCTTTCTCCCTCAGCTTTTTTCTCCTCTTTGCATAAGATCCGGCAATTACCTCTAATACTTGGAATGAATTATTCGACTCGTTCCGACGAGTCTTATATACGCGCACCTATCTCTCGCTTCCTCTTCCCTTTGGTCTTCGTTAACGCGACTACTCGCGCGCGACGTCATTGTCAATTTGCAGCGATTTATATTCACGCACGAATAATGTCGAAAGTATGGAAATAGCAAAGAAGACGAGATTCGTGGTGATGGCATTTTAAAAATTATAGTAAAATAATACGCATCACTTTTACAAATCTTAAAGCACAATTTTTATTTAGTTTAATATATATTTATTACATAATTCAACGGCTTGTAAATTACTGTCGGCAAAAAACAAAGTTCGATAATTAACATAATAGCTAATTATGACTTATTTTACAGCGAAGGAAATTTTAAAGTTTCAGTTTTGAGTTTAAATACAATATATTCGTGTAATATTTTCTGGACATTTAAATGCGAGAACTTTCTCTTATCTGCTTGTCTAACTAACGTCGGAGTTTCTGCTTGATTTCACGTCAACGCGTTCGTGCACTTTCAGGATAGATAAGAGCACAGGTTCTGTATTCTTAATCGCAGTCTTATGCGTAGTAGCTTTATCTGAAGCTATCGTGCTTTGCTTTGAAGAGGTAAAATGTTTTTAAGTGTATCGATGCACTAATGGAGATTTCAAGATGCAGTTTCTTGTACGGTCTTTACTAAAATTTCAAAATCGAAAATTAAATACAAAACTTTAATCACATTTATTCGGATATAATAATAATAATAATCAATAAAAAATGTGAGGTAAGAAGGATTGAACTGTACTTAGAATAAGATAATTGAGATGATCATTTGTATTATATTTGGTACGAGTGATTATATTAGTAAATTGCTTTGGAAAGAATGATTCAGTCTCGCAGAAATGAAATGTTGTTTTGTATAAATGATCGCTTTTTATCTTGGCAAAACGGGGGAATCTTGTGATGGCGAGAACATTCTCTCTCTATATCGCGGTGACGGGATCTCTAATTGGCAAGACCGTTCGAAAAATTGCACCGGCCGATCCGATCCCGGCAGTTGGCAATTAGAAGGAATGTCGTCCTGACCGATATGCATCTCCTCGTTGCTGGTCAGCCAACCTAATCACGCGCTCTTGTAGCTCGAGGGCGTCGAAGGGAGCCCCCAGCAACTCTCTTCTTCACTCATTTTGCAACTAATTGGGCATATGGCGCTCTTTCGCGTCTAACAATAAGCTGTTCGCTTTCTTTTCTCATACCATTTTTCGCGAATACCAATTTATCGTACAAAATTCCGATTTAGTAAGAATCTAATATTCAAGCAAAGTAAATGCTTTCTTAGAGATTTTTAAAAATATTTATTTATTGTTGGCATAGAGAAAGGGAGAGAGAGAGAGAATCTGGAGATATAATAGTTAGAAAGAAATGAAAAATGATATTTGGCAAAATTATTATTATTTACAGAAAATAAGAGCTTGCTCGTCAGTTTGTTACTTGTAATCTGATCATCGGACATTAATAAAATACATTTCGATTAGATAATGAAAAATTGAGAGAGCTGTCATTTGTAGGAAAAAAATGGAGTAGGTGTCATAAATTACGCCGACGATTAATGAAACGACACGATGTCGAACAAATTGCGTATACCTACCTTACGAGAAATTCGCTTGCGTGCAATTTGTTCTTATAATAAAGGCTCTTATCGAGCGATCATCGAACGCAATTAATCAGACGTCACGATAATAATGGTTCTCGTGTTTTCTTGTGGAACGCAAACATGCAGTAGAAATTATTTAATCCGACGCTGTCATAAATAACGTAACATTACCATGAAACAGAGAGTGCACTTGCAACTTGAAGCAATAATGATCGATGATGATGATGTGAAAATTGCGATATTTAAGAATTTACTTCTATCCATTTGATTATTAATAATACAACTCAATTATTAATTATTTTATTCATGATATTTGTATACAAATTACATTTTCCTATCGTCTGTCTTTCCTTATTACGTCTTCAAAATTTGTTTATTCTTTACAAATTTTTTTAAGAATCGTTTCTTTTTCGTTCAATGATTTGCAATTATGAAGATAGCGCGACATTTAAACACAATTAATGTAAAAGAAAATAAATTGGAACTTTTGGTTCCAGTGTTTTCCGAATATTCGTCGAGCATATTTATCACCGAATTAATTAATAAGAGACGGGTATAATCAGTGCAAGTTAGGGCGAAACAAAGGCGCCGTAGAGGCGCCGTCTGCGGCCGCGAGGCGGCCATCTCGCGCGATATTAATACGTTTGCCGAGGATAAGACGTCGCGTCGCGGCGGTGGCAGTTGCAACACGCGCCGCGGCGCCCAGCCGTGGCATTAATTTTCGATATTGCTGTCGTAAATATTCGCGACTCGCCGTAGAGCATCCTCGTCGGTGATTGAAACATCTCTCTTTTTCTTCGATTCGACATCGCTGGGGGGAAATGCGCGCATCCCCCGTAAGAGGGAGTCATTTTTATATATTGATCCTCAGGGCCGTAGGTTGCCTTCTTCAACAAGGATCGGATGTATGCATAAAAAATGAATTGTACAAAGTTGCACAGTTGCGAAATTAAACGAGTCAATTAAGAGTTTAACAAGGCTCTGTGTAATATATAAATATAAATTTTAAAGTGTAAGACAGGCAATAAGAGCCAAATCGCGGATGACAGTGCGTTATCCCAACGCGAAACTAAATTTTTTCGTTAGAATTAAATACCTGTGCACCTGTGCACTTACCAAATTTTACTTGGTCACGGCCAAGATTTAAGTAGAGATTATTCCAATTTTAAATCTTGGCCGTGACCAAGTAAAATTTGGTGCCTTGTGCACAGGTATTTAATTCTGACGAAAAAATTTAGTTTCGTTGGGATAACGCACTGTCATCCGCGATTTGGCTCTTATTGCCTGTCTTACACTTTAAACAAGTCTAGAAAATTATTACAAGAGAGGGAGAAATAATCATTTTCTCTCATTTTTTTCTTGTCGCAACAAATTCCATCATGTCTTTCCTTTCTTCTGATGTTTTAGAAATTTTTGTATTCTTTATAAATTTTGTTTCTTTTATAGAGCAAGATTCTAGGATCGTTCTTTAGATACAGTCCTGTAACTCGTGTTTCAATATATTATGGGAGAACTTGGAATAGAAAAGATATCCTAAAACGCATCTGTGCGGCAAATCTGCATTTTGTCACGCGAAATAATGGCATTTCTCTTTCGATAAAAGACTTTTATTAGGAAAAAAACATAACTAATACACAAAATTCGCATGATGATAATTTATAACTCATTTTGATAAGTATTACGAGAGAAAGAGACTTGTCGAAATGATGTCTGTACGTATATATATTTTATTAAAGCACAGATCTTAATCTTCAATCATATATTTCAATCACGATCAGAGGCTGAACGAAAAAAAAAAATTGAACTAAAAAAATGATGAAGTAGCGTATTCAAAGCGTTTTGATGCGAATCTCGCGACTCATCGTGCAGTCATCGCACAAACGAAATGGAAATTTCTAAAACGGCTTTATGCGTGCATCTTCCCGCGTAAGCTCGCATCTCGCCGCGCATAATTTAATCTCCCTTATATCTCGCTTGCATTGTGCCTTCCTCGGGCATTATTGTGTCTCCGCACGAAGGATCGCATCTCTCGCAGCCTCTCGCGGTTCGAAGAAAGGAAGGACCGCGAGGTGTGTCGCACCAAGTTGCAAGTTGCATGTGGGTGTGCGTGCAAATGGATGCTCAAATCCAGTATATAAATCACAGAGCGAACCTTTTTGAGGCGCGCAGCTTACAAAGTGTGCATTTTCAATTGTATTCTTTTTATTATTAAATATTTCAATTGATTATATTTTATATGCTATCTCAATAGCAGTACTCGATAGCATACTTTATATAGTTATATATTGTGATGCTTGCATATATTTAGCACTATTTCTATTTAATATTATATTATGTGATCTCCAATATGATCTGGATGTTTTGTTTCCCTATTTTTGTTTGCATCTGTCGAAAATATGATTGAGTTTGTACGAGAATTTTGAAAAATAAAGAATCGAAAAGTTGCGATACGAGAACCAAAGGTATTAATTTTTCGCAACATTGAATTGCGGTAGTATTCTGTAGATTTTGAATTGACAGCTGCATTGTGAATGAACAGCTGCAATGATTTTTATTGCAGCGAAATAGTGGATAAATTTAGGACAAAGCGCGATGATTTACGCGAAATGTGGATATCGGATAGCCACGTTTAACGTTAAACGCGTTGTAGGGATACGAGTCAAAGACCATTTCTCTGCCAAGTCAGTTATATTCGTGGTTTATAGACGGTACTCGGTAATTCGAGCACAAGCGTGTACAGAGTACTATATAGCGAGGGTATACATATATGCATTTATACGTATGTCGAAAAGCTGCTGGTTGAAAGGAACTTAACGATGTATTTAAACGTTGATTTACGCGTTTGCTGGATCAAATTAAGTTATTCATTATTTAAAGAAGATATTTTATGCATGTACAATGTATACAATTAAATTTAATATACAAGTGTCCGATAATTCACCTTATTTAGGAAAATCAAAATCTTGTACCGTTTTGCGATCCTTCGCAGCGATGAATGAGAAATCAATTTAAAAAGATTTACTACGGTTAATATACTAAGTTTGCGACGAAGCGTTGGAATTGATTAAAGTTTAATTATATATAATTTTTATATAATTTGTATAATTTTTTTTTTTCAGTTTTCATTACATTACATTGAATTTTTGTCAATATGATAAGATATAAACGAATATCCAACTAATTCTAAAAAACACGAAATCGAGAAGATGGAGAAAAACGTTGAAACGAATGATTCCCCTCTCATTTCAGACTACCATCGCCTTACAACAAACAATCGTCGGGGGTTGGCGGCGCTGGGGGTGGTCCAGGGGGTGGCACGAGCATACCCCTGCCCGCGACCGTCGCTGCCACCAGGAGATGCCCTCCGGACAAAGTCAGACCGGCTCCAACACCGACACATCAATCACAACTCGGTAAGTTCTCCGTCAACTCATCTCTCTTACTCTTCCCCTTGATACAAACTTTTCGCGCCGCATTTCACAGACAACTCCGTAAAAGCTTTGCTCTTATTGCGATCAAATATTCCTTTTATATTATATAATATAATAATTATATCATGATGATTTTTTAGGCTAATTTTTCAGCTGACAAGTTTTTCAATCATTTCTTTCATATTTTAGATATTAAAAATGTTAATTGTGAAAACAATTTATTGAATATAAATTAAACACGTAACAGTAACAGAAGATCTTTATGCGAATTTTGAAATTGTTTTAGAAACTTTTTTCACCTCTTGATATCAAAAATATAAAAAATTCAACAGCGTCTTTTAATCAAGTTTCAATCAAGTAATTTGTGTTTAATATTCTCTTTCGATAATTAATATATTATATTATACACACAGATTTTAAACACTTTTAATATTGATTTAAGTAAAAATTCAAACAGATATTAAATCAAAATTGTTACATAAAATTCAGTTATACTTGCTTAAATAATAAAATATTGCGGCAGGTGGAAGATTGTCAGATAATCGTCCGGATGATCTGATATTTTACATTATTTATCTAAAATTTGTTATTGCATAATTAATGAACGATAAAATATCGTAAAACTCTAAATTTTTAAAAACTCTAGAATTTGAAACAGCAAATCAATAACTGCAGCAAGCAGACGAAATGAATTATTCGTTTTGCGGTACGATCCTGACGGTGTCTGCGCGTTCCGCATTTTTGCGAATGAAAATTCATTAGCGAACGATATCCTTTAGCTAAATCGATCTTTCCGCGGCCGGTTTCGCCAGCCGGTTTCCATTATTTTTTCATCGGGTAATATCGCCTCCGGAATTTTATTGCGCCGATCGTTAGCACCAACTTTCTGCACGGATATATATGGAGTATGCCAAAAGTACTGCGCTTTCTCTTACTGATAATAGTTATTGAAATAATTCAAGAAAAAATTATATTAACATTTCCATTTATTCAAAAGCGAAAAAAATTTTTTCAACGTGAATTCTTTCATTTATTAAGAAAAAATCTATTTGAATTTCTACACTTCATTCTAGATACCTCTATTTTTATATTGTAAGTTTAGAAAGATCTCTAGCTCTATGATTAAAAACATTTAAAGGAAACAGATTAATCGGGAGTATTGCTTGCGACTATTAATTTGAGGTAGATGTGAATTTAAACGTCGGATGATGGATTACCACGATAATATGCAAATTGTAGAAAGATTTTCTTCGTATGAAACAATTAAACGATTTCTTCTTTGAAGTGACGTTTCTTCCGAGACACAAAGAAGGACTAAAGGGCGCGACGAACATCCGCGCGTTAAAAACACCCCATTAGCCATTAGCTTGGTGAATGGCTTTTAGCAACCCTTTGCACATTTCTAACTGTCACGGGAGATCCCGGACCGCTGTGGGAACTAGTCTCCATGGGGCTCTCCTGTTCCGCGAATACACACGGTGGCTTGTACGATCGTATCTACCCTGCGTACGCTCTTGTACGCATTCGTCTCTCATTTATCCCTTTTGTACGTATATGTACTTTTGTATGTACAAGTGTGCACGTGGGCAAACTTTTGATATATATATATATATAAGATAAATTTGATTAAGCATCGATTCTCATTTCTTAGCATTTTTCCTGAAACTTCCATCTTCTCTCGTCATCATTCTTTCATGTCTCTCTCTCATTGAACTGCACTTATTTTCCTTTGAAGTGATAAATAATCTTCTTGGTTCCCTTTATATATATATATATATATTTCTCTCTATCGCCTTCTCGCATACGTGCGTACACATTCATCTATTCTCTCTCTATTGCGTGCGCGCTACGCATACGTATGGCGATATTACATACGAAGGGAATGGAGGGTAGAGGTGGTGGAAACTCGAGGGAGTGTTCTCCACCCCTGCGAGATGATGTGGCACCCCATAGTTTATATTTTACTCTCAACTCCCGAGTTTCCACGAGCCAGATGTGCTCGGGCACCCGATTTACAGAGGCGCTCAACTTTGAGCCTTCCCGCGGGATATGACGCAGGGCAGAAAAGGAAAGTGAAGGAGGAGAGGACGTACATATGTATGTATGTATGTACACGCGAGTCTTTCTCTCGCTCGATTGCCTTCGCGTCGCGAAAAATGCAACCGGTCCTCGTCGTCGTCGTGCCATTATTTTTTTCTTAGGGGATCTCGGACACTGCTTGTGCTCGCCATTACGGTAATCAACGGGATTATAAAGTGTCACTCCTTTGTACAGTTGTTTTATTCATTCAGTTCTCGCCGTGCCTGAGATTTTCTTTGAAACATCTCAAAGTAGAATATGATCGAGCGATAATAAATACTTGATGTATTTGTTATATTACGCTTACATCTGCGCTCATTTTACATACCAGGAAAAAATAAAGAAATATTTATCATTTCTCGAATATAACAGATATATTTGATTTCGGAATATTTATGATCACGGTTGTGAGATTAGTTTGAATATTATTTTTCTATCTTACTGTACTTGTACTTTTTCCTGGACAAAATTTGCATCCCCTTATCGCTTATTTACACGGTTGGGCACCGCTGATGTGCGCCTTTACAAGGGGATGCTTTATACTTTCTCTTTCTCCTTCTCTCTATTTCGTCACTCTCGCCACTCTATATATCGCGATATCAAAACGCGCACGTTCGTATATGTCTGGATACAGAATGCGTTTCTCCTTCGTTCAAAATAGACTTTTACGTCGTATGTATGTAGACAAACTAGCCGGCCGGCTATAATGCATATGCGTGCACGCACGCATAAACTAAAGAAGGCTCTTCTCTCGTCGTAGTTTACGATTATAGGAATTTTCCTCCTTTTTTCTGGTTATCTGCTGCTCATCCTCAACTTTGTCACCGTTGATAGTTTAAGCGACAACCTCGTCTAGCCGTCTAGGTCAGGGTCTTGATTTACATAGCTATTTCGCTCTCGATAACATACTTGTGGATTGAAAATTATTTATGGAATTTCTCTTTATTACTGATTCTAATATTAATTATAAAATATGTTGAATTCATTTCTTGCTCATTGTTAGATCACGTAAATGTTCTCACATTATTTTATTCATCTTAAGATTTCTTTTATATTTAATTTATTTGTTATTTATTATTTAATTTATACAATGCAAAATATTTCCAATTACTTGAACAAATAGGAAGACATTTTTTTAATATTTACATATATATGTAACAGCTCTGTAAACGACGTATATATGAATCGAAGCTATTGATTGAGTAATGCGATGTTTACATCATATTATTGCAGTCATAAATGGAGCAGCGTTTGTTTCAATTAACGTTTGTTCAATTTCATGCGAAATTATGCCTGCCTCGTGTACGAACGTATCGATTTTTCTCTTGCTCCTTCTCTCTTTCTGCTTCGAGCTTAACTCAATCCCTGTAATCCACCGTGCAACTTCCCGAAGAGATTTCCGGAACAAGGGAAAGAGTCCCGTATGTACAGTACTAAAAGCCGTAATTAAAGGATGCTGTCTATCTATTGTATCCTAGACAGAAATGATCAAATTATATTAACTTTTTTAAATTTTGCCTTAAACAATTCATTATTTTATTAAAAGATATTGTTTTAATTTTTTATATATTTATCAAATCAGAAAATGTTTGTAAATAATATCTTTGATATTTTTTATTATGTATGAATATTTATTATTATATATATATATGTGGAAATTAAAAGATATGTAGAATTTAGTTGGTTGAACCTCTCTCGTAAGCGAGAGAGATTTAATTCGAGATGTATACGCACGTTGTGAAATCTCCTTAAGCCCAGTAATCCCGCAAGAATCTTCCAAAGAGACAAGCGAAAGTAAATAAAAGAGAAAACAGAGAACGAAAAGAAGAACCGAACGGTTTCGACCATTCGTCAGCTCTGTTATAAACTGTCTTTCGTTTCGCGGGCGTGCGAGAAAAAGAAAGAGACGCTTCCGAGAGAAAGAGGAAGCACGAAAAGATCGGTGTTGGAGAGAAGAGGCTGAAAGAAGGTGGCAAAGGGGAGAACAACGAGAGAAAATTGAAGTCTCGAAGCATATACGTAAGATCTGCTGCAGCCGGTCTTTAACCCCGAAACACTCGAGCGCCTCAGAGATTCTCAAATCTGAAAAAGTCCATTTTTCAAGTTTATAGCTTTTGAAATGTAGAAGGTGAAGCAAATATTTTCATTTAAGAAATTATTCAGATAATGCAGGAATTTTTTTTTTTAAATGGTATCTTTAAGGAAAAAAGTTTTATAAGAACGTAGAAAAAGTTTTTTTCTAAATTTATGAGCTAACTAAATACATATTGCAATATGTACGCATAATAATTTTAATCTTTCTTTTTAATTATTTAATATTTTATTTTGAAACGATAGATTTCTATGAAATTATAAAGGGATACAAATTTTTATTTTTGATCGCACTAGTTTTATATATTTGTATATACATATATTTCTTATCAAATTTTAAAGATATACAATAATTTATATCAAATCAATTATATTTGTTAATTTAATAATTATTAATTTATTAATATTTATCTTATAAAGTAAGAATTAAAATCTCTGTCTGACCAATAATGACATAAACTACTAATTTCACATTTTTTCAAGTATTTATACACACACACGCTCTATCTCAATTTTTATTTTTTATTTCTAACTTTTGTATTTGTCTTATATCTTTATAATTTTTGTTTTAATATCTTGTTTCTTAATAAAAAATATTGATAAATTCTGACAATTCTGCACGAAAATCGGTTGGGCACCGTTAAACGCGGAACCCTTAAATCTTCCTCTTCCTTTCGTCTTTCTTCAGCCTTGTACTAGTTAAAAATATCATTCTACACATACATTTGGATACCGGTTTGATACTGGTTTCGAGAATCGTCTTCCTTGAGCTCGCTATACTTATCTCAAATAGAAGAGAGAGAAGGCTGATG